GATAAGAGGTACAATAACAAGTCGAAACTGTATCGCGACAAGCTGTGGGCTCTCGACTGGGTCGAAGTGGCCGGTGAACCCGTGTGCGGTGCTGATGTGTTTTTAATTGAGGACGAAGGGGCGACCTAGTACTGTTGTGGTGGCATCATCCGGTCTGAAATTCACAAGGCCACGACGGAGAAGGGCAAGGTCAATGAGCGAGATTTGAAGAAGCTCTTTCTCACTTCGGTGTACGATGAGCAGGGTACTGACTGGGTCAAGACTGACCACAAGGTCAGCCTCGATCTTGCTCAGTTCAAGGGGTATGGTCAGAAGGCATTTGATATGAAAGCCTTCGGTGGCAACCCCGGCAAGCGAGATGGGAATGCGTTTAAGATGCTCTTACCCATTGAATTCCTCAGCAAGACCTACGGGTATAGGAAAAGTGGTCAATTCCCGACGGTTGCCGCTGGTCACCCGCTCACGTTACCTCTTGTTCCGTTTGACGCTCCTGTCGAGTCTCGCAGGCTTATCAACGTGCTCTAGCGATTGGCGGCAGGTTGTGTCGACGCCGCAACAACCTATCGGCGGAAAGGAGAAATTTATTACTTACCAGAGGCGTTTGGGTGGTGGGTCATCGGGAAACCTTCCGAAGAAGAAGGGGCTCGCCAAACCTCCTTCGGATCTTCCTGAAAGCTCTCGTGTTGGTGCCAGCTCGCGCTCGCAGGACACCGCTCAACGTGGAACGGACGAGGATTCCGACGAAGATATGGAGGAAGACGAACGGGTTCGTCAATTGCATTCACGGTTGTTAGCGACGCCTGGGCACATCCAGGGCGAAGGCTCTTGCGATGTGAATGCGGGGCGGGAAGCTGGTGGAGGTGCCGAAGCCCAAGTGAGCGACGATGGAGAATACTACGAGAATGAAGGAAAGTGTGGTAGTGGCGAGCGCCGAGAATAGGTTGGAGGAGCGGTGGACCATATGGAGTGGGAAAAGGTTGCGGCGAGCGGTGGGGTGGGCGGTGGCAGTGTGGGTGGTTCAGAAATGGAAGACGAGGAATTGGAAGACGAAGGAGGAGATGCCGTTGTTTTAGGGGGGCTTAATTCCAAGGGGAGAGGAAAACGGTCAGCGCAATCGTCGTCGACGGCAGCTGCGCCTAAGAAGCAGGCTCGAAAGAAAGCTGTGGACGAAGCTCGGATCACCTTGGATGCATCTCAAGGGACGCTTGGTGAAGCCGATGTGAAATGCAAATCAAGTGCTCGGATTTGCAAAACGTCACAACCCAAGAAGCCCGTGCGACCATCAAGGCGCCAGAAATCGGATGACTCCAGCGACGATGTTGAAGGGGTGGCCCCTCACTTGCTCTCCCTCCCTCACGACGACAAGCAGGAGACGAAGAAACCCTGTGCGGTCAACATGACGCAGTGCTTCTTCCTCGAGTGCGACGAGTACAGCAAAAACAGAAGAGACCCGCCGAGGGTGGTCCTTGACATCATGCAGATTCTTCGAATTCCGGTAGCCACAGTGGGAGATATCGCCTTCAATCAGCGATCGCTGAACCCGACCATCGTTGTAGGCATCGATGAGGCAATCGAGGCAACAACTCGTCCAAGGTCCGAGGATGACCTGGCTCCGTGGGATCCACCGGAGTTGGTGCTGGCTCCGATTAGGCCATCCCAGGACGAGAACACCCAAGGGATACGCGTCCTTCCATAGGACTTCGATCCCGATAGGGCAGACAAGTTTTTCTATTACCCGGTTGCCGGTCTACATACTTCTGAAGCTATGAAAAATGCAGTGGCAAGGAATGTTGCAGCAGTAGAGGTGTTTGGCTTTCGGAATTACGATCATGTACGGATCATTTATTTTTACGACACCACACGAACGGGTATGCGTATGTTTCGACATACGACAACACGAGAGCTGACTGTGCTATGTTGCCGTCGTTCCACCAAGCCTGCGAGGACATTAAAGGATTTTGGGACTCGAGGAAACGGATCGGGCCTGTGAGGAACGTGTCCAAAGGGGATCCCACCGGTGTAATGCACCAGGAAGAGTGGAGGAAATTTATGAGACTTTGCATGGGGAAGTCATGTGACAAATCACTGTGGACCGAGTATTTGTCTCCGAAGTGGCAACAAGACTAGACGAACAGAATGAGGGGATACATGAATGTCGCCACATGCAAGGACAGGATATGGATATTGGTAAAGGAGTTTTTTCTTAAGTTCGAGGCGGGGGAGTTCCCACTACACGACAACAAATGCCCAAAGGACTTGCCAGGGAAGCAGGAGGGGCGGGTGCCGGGCCAATTCACTGAAGAGGTGCAAGGGAAGAAGGAGGTGTTCCATTGCATACCGGCTAAGGACGGGGGACCAAACGCTACAGTGTCCTTCAAAGATCTCGTTCTGTCAAACTTCAAATGTTTTGGAGATATGACGGCACGAGAACCGTTTGAAGGCCATGAATGCGCGTTCGTGTTCAAATCCGCGTTTGAACGCGGATTGCACGTTCGCGTTCAAAAATTGAACGCCGTTCAATTTTATTTATTTTTTTTCTAAAAATTATTTCGATGCCTAAAACTTTTTTTTTTTTTCCATTTTTTTTTTGTGAGTTCTTTATGATGTGGGCTACACTTCTGTAAATTTCGGATTCATTTTGCTAAAGAGAAAAAAAAATAAAAAATCGCCAAAGATGGCGGTGTCAAATCATGTTCGCCGATTAATTTCAATTGTTTTTTTTATTTTTTTTTATTTTTTGCTCTCTAGTTTTATTTTGAATTTCATAGCGAATTTGGATGTGATGCTCAGACAAATGTTGTTCACTTTATTTTTCTTCATAACATTTTTTTTTTTCGGAATTTTTTGACAACTTTTTTTTTTTTTTTTTTTTTTGTTTTTTTCCCCCCTTTTCCATTCTTACATTTTCCCCTTCCCCCCCCCCCCCCCCCAACCCCCCCAGACCCCCCCCCCCCCCCCCCTCTCTTGGGCCCCCCACGCTTTCGAATTATTGTAGATTCTTTTTTAACTGTAGAATAAATTTAACCCCCTGTTAAATCGATTTAATCAGTTAGAATAATAAATAGTTAATAAATAATTGTATATAAATTTCTACGGATCGGAAGGCAATTAATCGATAATCAACCCTTTTCGTATTGTTGTAGACTTGTTTTTTCTTTTTTTTTGTAGATTAATTTTTAGAGATGAGGAGGCTGTCGAGAGTAATCACCCCTTTAAAATTGGAGATTAAATTCAACGTGTAGAAATGCCATTAGTCCTTAATTAACCCTTTTAAATAGTTGTAGATTGAACTTAAATTTTACGCATAGGAACGCGATTATTATTCAATAATTAGCCATTAAGAAAATTGTAGATTAAAATTTTGAGGGGATAGGAAGACAATTGGAGGCGGAAACGAAGGAAACGGGGACTAAGAGGAGCATACTCGCACCAGGACTTTCCTGTATGAATCTGATCGAAATTACGGTATGTGCTGAATGCATCTGACCTAAATTACGTCCAGATAAGTGCCGAAAAAGTCCGCGTGTGAGTATGCGGCTTAGAGAACGCTACTAAATTCTCTCGGATTTTTTATTTCGTTTTCCTCCGTTTTTATTGGTTGGAGTTTTTGCGAATATACAACAGCGGGAGGGCAATTGCTGAAGTGGCCCTTCCTTTTTTTTTTTCTTTTTTTTTTCTGTGACAAAAAAATAGTATCTGACCTAAATTACGCCCAGATAAAATAGTATGCGTCTGTCACTAGGAAACATAGACGCTAGAGACCGACTAAGCGATTAGTCACGCTGGCAGCGATTTGCCCGAATCTGGCCGGAAAAATGAGTGAGATGCATCCCCGCTACTCTCTTGAAGTGCGAGTGTTCCCCTCTATGCAGACTGTCCTCGGTGCGCACGTGTTCATCATGTCTTTTTATCCTTGACGTTTGAATTTTCTGTGGGCGAAAGCATCGCACCTTTTGTCCATAGCTATTTCTGGAAGGCTCGTTATTAGTGTTTTTTTTTTTTTTTTTTTTTTTT